TGTCTGACCGCTGTGTTTGGTGGTTCCTACGTAGACTTGTCCACAGCTGCACGGTATATGATAGACTCCTGTATACAGTTTCACTGTTTATAATATATAAAATATATCAGACAAGTATCTGATTTTGAGAAAAGGAGGGGAGGGGAATTAGGTTATATTTATTCATGTGCCTCAGTTAAAAATGTCAAGTAAATCCTTGCTGTCTTCAGCTCCTGTCCAGGATTTTAGGTAGCTTGAGACCCAAGTCAGACATAACAATGAAATACCCATGTGTGTAGACAGGCTCTGCTTAAGTTGTAATTCATTACAAGTGATGTAGTTCTTGGGAATCTGTTACTTTTTCTGGTAATTGGACTATTGCAACATTACATCTGAAAAGGAACTTAACAGGCAGGAGTTATTCATCAAACTATCGTACATGAATCATGTTGATGTATCGCGTCATGTTTCATTATACCTAGTTAATGGGTAATTGTAGAAGAATTTTGATAGGATTTCATTTTAGTTTAATCCCATTCTCTTAACAGTCTTAAAGGGGAAGAACCATTAACATAACAGTATACTGGGATTGCTGTGAGTTTTCCGGGCTGTATGGCCATGTTCCAGAAACATTCTCTCCTGACGTTTTGCCTACATCTTGGTGGCATCCTCAGAGATTGAAGGGTCTGTTGGAAATGAGGCAAGTGAGGTTTATATATCTGTGGAATGCCCAGGGTGGGAGAAAGAACTCTTGCCTGCTTGAAGCAAGTGTGAATATTGCAAGTTGGCCACCTTGATTAGCATTGATTATCATTCCAACAGACCTCACAACACCAGGAGAAAATGCTTCTGCAATATGACCAAACTATCAAGTTTTATTGTTTCCTCATTTTCTGATTTTAAAGCTTTTCTGAAGAAAATTTCTCTCATAAATGTGGTTTGAATATTACTCATTTTTCTTTCCATTATACTTTGTGGTGTATTGTGGCTTGCAATCACTGTTTGATAACTTGTTAGTGGCTTTATTCTCAGCACTGGAATTTAACAAGCATTTACAGCTAAAAGTCTATCCAGATGTTTGTTATTATCTGTAGTATAAGTATAAAGGAAGATCAACATTTTAATAAAACATTTGATAATATGTGTCAAAGTTTGCACAGACTTTCCCTTTAATTCCCTTTTAATGATGCTTAGCTTAGTGGTTGAGTGTGAGCTTCCTATGCAAAAGGTCCTAGGTGCCAGACATGACATCTGCAAATAGAGAAAAGACTGGAGAGTAACTGCAAATAGATCCGGCATTGGAATATTTTGGCTCTCCCATATTATTCTTTCCAATGTTCTTCCACTGGTTACATTAACTGGGCCAAATAGAAATAGCAGTCCAGCGAGATTTGGAGAGCTGCATAAAGATTTCCCCCTGTGTTATCAATCAGCTCTGGAAATTAATGTATCAAATTAATTTAAGTAAGTAAAAAGAATGCTTACAACATGCTAAATTCAAGCAAAGCAGTGTTGCTTGCCTCTTCATAACAACAGGTAAGTGACTAACAAAGTTTTCACAAAAGTTTGTTGTTAACTGTTTAATGTGTTTATGATGTTAATTGTTTTTATATACCGTGTTGTTCTAGCATTGAATTTTTTGCTATTCTTGTTGTTAACCGTGGTGAGTCGCCTAAGGGCTGAGAACAGCGGTATACAAATAAAGTAAATAAATAAATAAATAAATAAATAAAAAGTTTTCGTTTGGATTTCATTTTCTTTTTTGCAAAATGGTCTAGTATACATCATTCTAATTAAAATAATATTTGTGCTTGTTCAATTTGTGCATCAAAACTATTACTGGAGGGAAATGTCACTCTGGAGCAGTGGTTCCCAATCTTCTTCTTCTTTTTTAACCAGGGACCACTTTGACCAGAGACCACTCTCCAACATTGATACCAAAAGGGTTACAACTCAGTTTTTGGTCAACTTTAGATTTGATTTGGTTATTTGGGGTGATGATTCAAAAAATTGCATTGGATAGACCACATCAGCTCTAGTTCTGATACAAAACATATGCCATCTAGTAGTCGCCATCTGCTCACCCGCAGAAAACCATATTTAATAATCTAGAGCTGATGTAATAGTAGTAATCTTTTGTGGGTAGTCAGCCTCTCCCCTCCCAGCATCCCTGTTTCATGAGACCAGTTGCTCTCATTGCCATGTGGTTTCAAGGCAGTGATGTAGTAATGGTGAGGCCACAGACCATATTTTCATTCTTGCAGACCACTGGTGATCCATGGACCACAGGTTGGGAACCATTGCTTCTGGAGAGTAATAAGTAAGGCACTTCCACACAAGCACTAAAATTTAACTGAAAGCTGGCTTGAGGTCAGGGTGCTTTCTCTTAATAAGAGAGAGGCTTTTCATTCTGATTTGTTAAATGAGATGACAGTGATGATCATTTATATCATAACATTAAACGTACGTGGCACATTACAATCAAACAAAACAAAAAACAATGTGTCCTGGCAAAGGTGGGAAATGTAAAACATACTCCTTAAAACAAATCATTCAGGTAAAACAAACAAACAGAAATCATGCAATTAATTCATTTCCATAATGATGATGATGATGAAGAAGAAGATGTTTGTAATGATTACTCATAGGAAAATATTCTAGAATCTCCTCATCATATTAAAACTAGGAATGTTTGAAGCATGAATACACAAAACAGAATATACTTCAGTGTGAATAAATAAAAGAAATGCAAAGATAATCTAGGAAGTAGGACCCCTCCTCTGAGTTGAATCAGTTAAAGAATTCAGTATCTTAATCCATTTCTCAAAATACGCATTTTTCTTATTATATGCAGTAACAGAGCACAGTTTTAAGCAAAGAAGGGTAATTATAAAAAGTGAAGCAGACTTCAAATCTATAGAAGGAACTGAGGAGAGGAAGCTTGCAAAACTCAAATAGCATTTTTGATACAAGCTTATATGGCTTGTCTCAGACAAATAATTCAAACAACAAAATACAGTTAGAAATTGTTTTTTTATTCTGCATAGCAGTTTGAGCTATAAGAATCTTTTTTTCCCTTTCCTACATAACAATCATAAAACCAAAAGGAGAAATGAACGTTGATTTAGAAGGAAATTTCCTTTGCTGTCAGATTGGTTACTGAAGAACAAATACCTCAGCAATTATAGAGGCAGATAGAATAGAGATGTGCACTGAATTAAATCCCCCAAGCACATAAAAACATAAGAATAAATGAGAGAGCCATATATATATACAGTGGCAGTTAATTAACTCAGAGAAGGTCATCCAAAATCTCTCTACAAGTCACCCGAAACCCATCTTGACTTGTTTAGCCCTGGCCACATAGAAAGATAGAAAATCACTCAGGCTTCTGATCAAGAAAGGGGAAACACTGCAGAAAAGGAATGTAAGTAATAATATTGACCAGTGCTAGAGTGTAAAGTTAGAAAGTGACCACAAGGCATAGATGGGGTGGAGCCATGTTGAACAAAACAGTTTGCTTAGACCAGTGGTTCCCATCCTGTGGTCTCTGGACCACCAGTGGTTCCCAAAAATGAAAGTGTGGTCTGCGGCCTCATCATTACTACACTGCTGCCCCAAAACAAAGCGGCAATGGGAGTGACTAGTCTTGTAAAACCTTCTTATAGTGCAAAGGCAATGAGGATGTTGGGAGGGGAGAAGCTGACTACCCATAAAAGATTACTACTACCGTATCAGTTCTAGAGTTATAATTTGGTTTTCTTTGGGCAAGTGGATGGCGACTACTGGATGGCATGTGTTTTGTATCAGAAACTAGAGCCGATGTGATCTATTCAATGCAATTTTTGGAATCAGTACCCCAAATAACCAGACCAAATCTAAAGTGGACCAAAAACTAATTTGTAACCCTTTTGGTATTAATGTTATAGAGTGGTCTCTGGTCCAAGTGGTCCCTATTCAAGTGGCCCCTGGTCAAAATGGTCCCTGGTCAAGTGGTCCCTGGTCAAAAAAAGGTTTGGAACCACTGCTCCAGAGTGACATTTCCCTCCAGTAATAGTAAGAATTTTGATGGCACAAATTGAACAAACACAAAGATAGCTTTAATTAGAATGATGTATACTAAACCATTTTGCAAAAAAGAAAATGAATTCCAAACTAAAACTTTTGTGAAAACTTTGTTAGTCACTTAACTGTTGTCATTATGAAGTGAACAACACTGTCTTTGCTTGAATTTAGCATGTTGTAAGCATTCTTTTTACTTATTTAAATTTATTTAATACATTAATTTCCAGAGACTATGGACACAGTTCACAATCCAGTTCCTTCTCGAACATAACTAGTATCCAAGTTATGCTAATTAAAATGATTATTTTAATAGTTTGAGGAGCCTAACAGTTCTCAGAATCTCAACCATTATTCTTTCCCTTTCTCTGCTACATCTTTTTTCCAAGTTAATATCCAACAACATCTCAGCTCCATGCCAATGAGAACTATCCAAGAAAGTAATGAATCTGCTATTTTCTGCCAGTTGACAGTTTTATATATTCTCTCTCAAGTGTTCAACAAATTTGGCCTAAATGTACTTTATTCCCATGGTCAGCTGTTCACTTCAGGAAAGATCATGTTCACATCAAGTGAAATTAAGTCGTATGAGGAATTGCTTTGTATCAAGTTACAATCAGCCCTCCACATTTGCTAGGATTAGGGATGCAGGACCCCCATGAAATGAGGAAAACTGAATTACAAGCACTCTTCTACCTGAAAAACCTCTCTAAGTCCTCCACCATGATTCTGTTGCCAACATCTGGTGGAAATCCACACTGGAAAATCTAGAGAGAACGTTTTAATCAACTCCATGAATAATCAAATCCTCAACAGTCAAAGCTGCAAATGTGGAGGGCCAATTACAGATTCTAGTGGAAAGCTTTTTGACTTAAAGTTATCATAAGGTAGATCAGACACAGTGCAAAGAAAAGCAAATCATTTTGACTTCAATGAATCATTATTGTGTGTTCCTGCAGGTCCGAGAACTGCAGACGCGCTTGCAAAGTGTCCAGGCGACTGGCCCATCAAGTCCAGGTCGTCTCACTCCTGCAAACCGTCCTATTAACCCAAGCACCGGTGAGCTTAGCACAAGCAGCAGCAGTAATGACATTCCTATTGCAAAGGTGAGTCCTTGTACATTGCCATGGTACCGCCTGTTGTCTGGAAGAAGCAAGGAGCTTTTGCTGAGCAGAGCCGCTGTACGGATTTGTAATTAGCCAGAAAGTCTTAGCTGGAGTGCCAGGGGATTTTTGGAGGATCCTGAGTGAGTCCTCAGGCTTGAGCTGCAAGGAGAGATAAAGTGCTAAGGACTTCAAGCCTCTCTTAGTAAGAGCACACACATGCCAGTTTATAGTAATCAATTTAACATAGAATTTCCTAACACCGTGAATATGCGAGAAGGGGAGTATTTTGCATAGGTGTGTGGAAACTTCACACAAGACTTGAATCGCTTATGTTCACAGCAGGCTTTCCTTCTCTTTTCCAGATCGCTGAGCGAGTAAAGCTCTCAAAGACAAGGTCAGAATCGTCAACATCTGACCGCCCGGTCTTGGGATCAGAAATCAGCAGCATAGGGGTGAGTTTGAATAGTGTGCTGCTTAGCAATAAGCTGCTAATTGATCGTCATGATCAAGGTTGCCACAGCAAGCAATATGAAGTAAATGCACATTCAACCCATACTCAGCCCTTGATTTTGAATTAGACAGATTCAGGAAATGCTGTATTATTTTCTATTCTAAGGTGCCATTGAAGATTATAATTTCAATATGACCAACAGAAAAAGCTTTATTTATACATAAAAAGCAACCACACTTCTGAGAAGCACCCCATTTCTTAAGCAGCTGTGTCCAAAACTGAACATTTGCTGTTGTGTTTCAATTATATTTGTTTGTTTGTTTGTTTGTTTATTGTGTCAGAAGAGGATTGAGGGTACAGTTAAAATGTATTTAAAACACAAACAACGTTAAAAACTTAGCATTAAACTAAATGTCCTTTGATCAGAAGCTGGCCACTTGGAGTGCCTCTGGTGTTGCTGTGAGAAGGTCCTCCATTGTGCATGTGGTAGGACTCAGGTTACATTGTAGTAGGTGGTCTGTGGTTTGCTCTTCTCCACACTCACATGTTGTGGACTCCACTTTATAGCTCCATTTCTTAAATGCGTCTAGCCCTCTGCATCATGTGGTGCCAGAGCACCATCTGTTCAGCGCCTTCCAAGTTGCCCAGTCTTCTGTGCCCAGAAGGGAGTCCCTCATCTGGTATCAGCCATGGATTGAAGTTCCAGGTTTTAGCCTGCCACTTTTGGACTCTCACTTGCTGAGGTGTTCCAGCGAGTATCTCTGTAGATCTTAGAAAACTATTCCTTGATTTAAGGTGTTGGCATACTGGCTGATATCTGAAGAGGAGATGGGCTGAAGATGTCACTTCTTTGGTTCTTTCATTATTGGCTGCTACTTCCCAGCAGATGTCAGGTGGTGCAATACTAGCTAAACAGTATAATTTCTCCATTGGCATGGGTATTAGATGTCCTGTGATAATGTGGCGTGTGTCATTAAGAGCCACATCCACTGTTTTAATGTGGTGCGATGTATTCTACACTGTGCATGCGTATTCAGCATGTTTACTAATATATTTCTATTAACATCACATAAAATCCTTTAAGGGTATTCTGGGAGTTTGACCCGATAAAGTGACTTTTCTGAGCTTTGTGTTACAGCAAAGGAACACTCATTTGTGACCACCCATTCACACAGTCAGTAAACATCTAAAAACCTTGTTACAGGTATCCAGCAGCGTGGCAGAACACCTTGCACACTCTCTTCAAGATTGTTCCAACATCCAAGAAATTTTCCAGACACTTTACTCACATGGTTCTGCTATCTCTGAAAGTAAAATCCGAGAATTCGAAGTAGAAACTGAACGATTAAACAGGTACATTAAAATGTGTGTATGCAGTTCTCTTTCGTTTCAAATGGATTACTCTTTTACTTTCTTCCCAATTAGGAAAGTCATATTGGAACTTCTGTGACTAATCATAATTTCACAGATGTGTATTTTCTGAATTTTAATTATACATTTTCAATTTGTTGTTAGAGAAGAATTGTATAAGAGGGTTTGAGAGGCTCACCCTGTTTTGGAATGCTTGTGTGTAAACGTAGAGTATGCTTGTGTGCAAACGTCTTCATTGTTTTGATAACAATATACTGTCCTTCATTCACAACAGCTGTCTGTTGATCTTCATGAATGCAGTTAAATATTTTTATATTTAACATAAAATAATATTTGTATACCACTCTTTGTTACCAATTTCCAGGGCAATGTATAACATTCATTATGCAATTAAATTTAAATGTTGATACAAACATCCCCAATAAAAGCCAAGGTGTAAAGCAATTCTGTAAATACATCCCATAAATAGAGCCCCCAGTGGTGAAATGGGTTAAACCCTTGTTCCGGCAGGATCATTAACCAAAAGGTCAGAGGTTTGAATCCGGGGAGTGGAATGAGCTTCCTTCTGTCAGCTCCAGCTTCTCATGCAAGGACATGAGAGAAGCCTTCCACAGGATGGGCATTCCCTGGGCAACGTCATTGCAGATGGCCAATTCTCTCACACTAGAAGCTGCTTGTAGTTTTTGAAGTCACTCCTGACATAGAAAAAAAATAAAATAAATACCTGAGCCATGGTCATACTCACATAGAAAAGCCAATATTTGGTGTCTGTTTTATTTTATTTAGCAACAGTGTGAGAACAACAGCCAGGCCATCAAATGCTAATCAAGGTGGTCAGTTGAAACATTCACACCTAGCTCCAGCAGACAAGAGTCCTTTGTCCCACCCTGGTCATTCCACAGATATATAAACCCCTTTTCCGAGTTCCAACAGACCTCACTACCTCTCAGGATGCTTGCCATAGATGCAGGTGAAATTTCAGGAGGGAACACCTCTAGAACATGGCCATATAGCCCGAAAAAACCTACAACAACCCAGTGTGAGAACATCTTCCCAATAATATTTAGTTGCCAGGACAGTTGAGAAAATGATAATAGCACATAAATCTTTGGAGAATCTGTTGCATGTATACATTATTCATAGAAATAATTTTGCATATGTATATAGGCACAACAGTGATTCTGTATCTGAAAAACATAGGAGACTCAGCTTTTATTTCAGTTGATTAACTTGTTATCCCTGTTGTTTTGATTGGGGTGAATTATGCTGATGCCAGCTGCATTTAAATGTGGAGAAATATGGTGATGAAAAAGAGGACTTAATCTAAATTAATAGCTTTCTTTCAACAAGATAATTTAGTCATCAGCATTAGGCCATAAAGTGATTTGTTAGGATTTGCATGTTATTCTGCGAATCCTAGCAACAGCTGGTGTTGTCTCCCGAGGAACCTGAAATGCAGCTTTTGACATTGGTTTGTATAGTAATACCTTTGGTGGGGATAAGTGGATGCTGCCAATGGCCATGTTAGCACAGGACCACCTGCTAGAAACCTGAGACCCCACAGCACTGTGTAATCCAGGAAGCACAAAAGAAACACAAGAAATAGCGGTGCTGTTGGAAAGGCACACTGCTCTATGAAGCACAGCCCTGCACCATTAGCCATGGCTGCAGTGGAGTGTCTTTTTAACTGAAACGATTAACTGTAGTTTTTCAAGCATGGCAAAGACCATATTGGATCTGACTTCACTCTGTAGGGGGAAAGACTGACTCTTTGCCCCTTTGTTATTCATGTATCTCATTGGCCCTATGTCCCCAAAGTTAGTAGGTTTTTTTAAAAAAAAGTTTAGATTACTTTTTGCTTCTGCAAAAAGGTAAAGGTAAATGTTTCCCCTTGACATTAAGTCCAGTCATGTCTGACTCTGGGGGATGGTGCTCATTGCTAAAGAGCTGGCGTTGTCCGTAGACACCTCCAAAGTCATGTGGCCAGCATGACTGTGTGGAGTACCATTACCTTCCTGCCAGAGCAGTAATTACTGATCTACTCACATTTGCATGTTTTTGAACTGCTAGGTTGGCGGAACCTGGGCCTAACAGCAGGAGCTCACCCTGCTCCCCAGATCTGAACCATCTGCCTTTTGGTCACAAAGTTCAGCAGCTCAGCAGTTTGACCTGCTGTGCCACCGGGGGTGCCTTGCTTCAACTCAAAAGATGCTTAGTTGGCTAGGACTCAGTTTATATTTCAGCATTTGCCGATAGGCCACTGCTTTATCCCACCAATAGAAAAGAAGGCTGCTCCAACCCCTGTCCTATAATTAAAAAGAGAAGTAGTGCAAAGCATAAGCGGGCAGGGACTAGGAAATTAAAGGTGGAGCCCCTCTACCCAAGGTCAACATGTAACAGCTGTGGGGGCAGCTAGTATTGGGAGATACCTCCTCAAGGTATCAGTTTATTTCTTTAGCCCAGTTTATTTTTTCAGACCTTGGTTAAGACAAGCTAAAACCTGCCCCCGTACTTAGATTTACTTAAAGAAAACTTCATAGCTTGTTCCTAGTGGTCAAACCAGTGTGGTATAGAGCGCAGCCCAAGTTTGGGTCCACATTCAGCAATGCTGCTCACTGCATGATCTTGGATCAATCCCTCTCTCTCAGCTTAACTGAGAAAGAGGGTTCACAAGTGTGCTGCAATCTCTGGGAGTAGTGATGCCATCTATGGGCCCTTCCGCACAACTCTATATCTCAGAACATCAAGACAGAAAATCCCACAATATCTGCTTTGAACTGGGTTATCTGAATCCACACTCAGATAATGTGGGATTTTCTGCCTTGATGTTCTGGGATATAGAGCTGTGTGGAAGAGCCCTAAATCCCTTTTTGTATTGTAAAGGGAAAGCTTACTTACTTAGGTGATCCCTTGAACCCCAAGGGTAATGGCCCTCCAAGTGTAGCAGTGGATACTTTGGTGGCTGTGGAGACCTATTCTTGATCCACATATTCTTCCGCAGTGAGGACATCAGTTTCCTGGTGGAAGGCGGTCCCAGTCCCTTTCCTCTTGGCACGTTTCTCTCTTTCACCCTCCATTCATGCTTCTTCGAATTCTGAAGCACTGCTGGTCACAGCTGACCTCCAGTTAGAGTGCTCAAGGGCCAGGGCTTCCCAGTTCTCAGTGTCTATGCCACAGTTTTTAAGGTTGGCTTTAAGCCCATCTTTAAATCTCTTTTCCTGTTCACCAACATTATGTATCCATTCTTGACTTGGAAAGTATAGTAACTGCTTTGGGAGTCGGTGATTGGGCATTCGGACAATGTGGCCAGTCCAATAGTGTTGATGGCTTAGGCAGGATGTAAGCAAACAAGCAAAATGGATAATTTAAAAAAAATGTTTTGATTATCATTTGATTTGGGTTGTGCTCCTGAAAATTTTACCAACTCTGTCACAAAGATATAAGTGTTTATCTTTTAACATACCACTGTGCTGATGGCCTAGGGAGCTCCATAGATGGGGGATGTAACCCCATTATCAGACACTCAATTATCACCCTGTTTTACTTCTTTAAAAGCTGCTTTTGAAAATGCTCCAGTTTTGAAACTCAGAACATTTTCAAAAACAGTTCATAATGCAGCATAGGGAAAGGGTTTTTCAGAACGTGTGTGAACAAGCTGCATGCTGTACTTGTGGGTTCACCCATTCATTCATGTATTTGGAATTACTTTTGGGGTTTCAGTCTCCAGTCTGAAGAACGTTACACAAAAGCCTGGTAACTGTTCTCTGCTAAACAGTTCTATAGTTTGATATCACTATAATTACACTGGATGAATTTTGGGTTTTGTAGTTTGGTTAAGTGTTTAGAATTCTCTATGAGAGAAATCTAGTTCACTCTGCAGCAGTGTAGCAGATGATTTTTAATTCCTCACTAAGCTACAATTTCTACATTTGTAAGATAGGGCTATGGTAGTGGAAGCACCATCAAGTTGCAGTTTGTGTTTTCACATGAGTAGTTTCTTGAGCCCATTGAAAAGATCAGTTAAATCAGAGAAACAGCCAGGAAAGAACAAAAAAATGGCGTGAACTATAGAAAGCATATTTCCCACAAAAAATGGCTGTGGAAGTATCATGGTCTGTTGTAGATGAGACTGCAGCAAGCATTTTATGAAACCTTCAAGATGCCTTTCTTTTCCACAGCCGCATTGAGCACTTAAAATCTCAGAATGATTTGTTGACAATAACTCTGGAAGAGTGCAAGAGCAATGCTGAAAGGATGAGCATGTTGGTTGGAAAATATGAATCCAATGCCACAGCCCTCAGGCTTGCATTGCAATACAGGTACGTCAGTGCAGAATGCAAGATGCATAATAAACATAGTGGCATATTTTCATGTATTGTTCATTCTTCTGTAAGACAAGGCAGTTGTTAGAACTGCATAGAATGTCCTGTTTCATTGTTTGTATTTTACTTCCCTTGCCTTGTACCATTACTGTTTAGTATTTTGTATCTCAACCAGAAGGGACCAGACCCTATTGGAACTTGGAAGCTAAACAGAATAAGTTCTGGTTTGTACTTGGAGACCACCAACAAATACTAAGCTATAATTCAGAGGGAGGAACTGGCAAAGCCACCTCTAAGTATTCCTTTCATAAGAAAACCCTGTGAAATTCATGGTGTTGCCATAAGTTGAGAGTTTTCTTGAACGCACATACACAAACACACACAAACAGCGAAGGAAAACAAGATTTCCATTTTATGCTAGTGTGCTGAAAACTATAAAAGCACATTAAAAGGTAAAGGTTTCCCCTGAAATTAAGTCAAGTCGTGTCTGATTCTGGTGGGTGGTATTCATCTCTATTTCTAAGCTGAAGAGCTGGTGTTGTCCGTGGACACCTCCAAGGTCATGTGGCCAGCATGACTGCATGGAATGCTGCTAGCTTCCCGCAGAAGGTATTGATCTACTCACATTTGCATGTGTTTGAGCTGCTAGGTTGGCAGAAGCTGGGGCTAACAGTGGGAGCTCCTTGAATTCAAACTGCCACCATTTCAGTCAGCAATTTCAACAGCTCAGTGGTTTGACCCACTGCACCCCCAAGGGGCCATTAGAGAAAATTAAACACACACACACTAAATTGTATTGTTATGGTCAGCGCTAGCTAGAGTAGTTAAGAAAAGCAGGTTTTCATTTTTCCTTCATTAGCATCCTGAAAGGCCATATTCTAGTTCCACAATTTTTTTATAGAATTATAGGGCTCATGTTTCTAACTATATACATGTAACTTTAGATGAGAAAAGCAATGGTTTTAGTATTGTTTAGGAAGAAAGGCAATGCAAAATACAGCATTAGATTTGCACACTCTTTGTTCAAGTCATCCTTAATTAAATTTTATGTGATTTTTATAGTCATGCTATCCAGTCAGTTTGACACTAACATATCCTTTGAGGTTATGTTAAGTCATGCTGTTAATTAAAGAAGTTGGGGGTTTACAGAGCTTGGAAAAATCCCTTTTTTGGATGACAGCTCCCACAATCCCCCACTCAGCATGAGCTGGCTAGATGATTCTGCAAATTGACATGCAAAAAACATGACTTTTCAAAATGCCAGGACAGGATAGTGTTGTCATTTCTAGACTACAGGAAGATATAGGTTCCCAGTGCAACAGACCAGGGGAAATGACATAATTGACTTCCTTCTTGCCTTATTTTTATTGATGTTGACTTTCCTCTCTGTCCTAAAACACATATGCTGACTGGATTTTTTTCTCCCCCAGTGAACAGTGCATTGAAGCTTATGAGCTCCTGCTAGCATTGGCAGAAAGTGAACAGTCTCTCATTCTTGGGCAATTCAGAGCTGCAGGTGTGGAGTCAGTTGGTAAGAAGTCAATGAGTCACTTTCTGTCTGAATCCATTCTGTACCTTATTTGTCATCCATCACCCTCAAGGACTATGTTGCAACCATGAATCATCTCATGATCACCTTCTCCTCTGTCCACCAATCAAACATGGTTTCTTTCATCCTCAGCAGCCAAGTAAAACTCTGACAAATGGATTTTGAACTAGAATTTCTTTAAATATGAGCAGTCTCAACAGTTATGGGTTGCAGTCCAGGAAAGCTATTTGAGCAATAGCTATATTTTGAAGGTGGTGGTGTAAGCTGTTGGCTCTCTACAAACAGTCAAAAAGACATATGAAAAGATCTGAATAAAGCAGGCCACAGTTCTCACCACAGTTTGGTAATGAAAAAAATAGTGTGACACTTGTCTGCAAGATTGAAGAGGAAGAGGGGAAGGGAGGACTGTAGTGTTAGCTTATTTATCAGCATTTTAAACTTGGATGCCCTATTGACATCTAAAAAAAGGTAAAGATTTTTCCCTTGACATTAAGTTCAGTCGTTTCCGACTCTGGGGGTTGGTGCTCATCTCCATTTCTAAGCCGAAGAGCCGGCGTTGTCCGTAGACACCTCCAAGGTCATGTGGCAGGCATGACTACATGGAGTGCCGTTACCTTCTCAAGGAAGCGGTACCTATTGATCTACTCACATTTGCATGTTTTCAAACTGCTAGGTTGGCAGAAGCTGGGGCTGACAGCGGAAGCTCATGCCACTCCCCGGATTCGAACCTGCAACCTTTCAGTCAACAAGCTCAGCAGCTCAGCGGTTTAACCAACTGGGGCATCTATAATCTTCTAGATCACTGTTTCACTCCTTTTCTTCTCCTTCAGCATATAGATGTTTTCCCAGAACTAGTAGAAGGAGAAGAAATGGACAGGAGGTGAACAGGATTAATACAGAGGTCTACAGGATTGACTAGTATCAATGAGATTTGCAAAATTAAAATGCTGACATCATACCTCCACCTCCTCCATACTAGTTAATCTAGAAGTATCCCAGATCAGTGTCCAGAAATTAACCCAATCTCTGTTAACTCCAGAATTGTCTTAATCCTTCCCTTCACCAGCCAACACCATAGAGACTTGCCTTCCTGGATTCTCACCCTTTTTCGTGTCACGTTCCCAACTTCACTCCCTGTTTTCCTCATCCTGTAAGTGCTTTTAACCCCTCGCCCCCCAAAAAATTTGACTTCAGTCTCAACATTTATCAAATTGCATAGTAAATGGAATGTTTAGGTACAATACATTCTCAATCAACTAGAACTCAAGCAGTCGGAACTCTCAATCAACTAGCAAAAAAATCAAAGAAATAGTATCTATATAAATAAAAATATAATGTTCATTTGTGGGATTAACATAACTCAAAAACCACTGGGCGAAATGACATCAAATTTGGACACAATACACCTCTCAGGCCAACAAGTGACCATCACTCATAAAAACATGGAAAATCACAGCAGAAAGGGCTTAAAAAACCAAAAAACAAAAATACATTACAACACATGCACAAAACACATGTATGCAAACACACATATATACAGAAATATATATACACACAAAACACATATACACAGACTGGGCCACGGCAACATATGGCAGGGGGCAGCTAGTTTTAAATAAAAATTAAAATAAAATCATTTTTATAATATAGAAAAATCATAGTTTATACTAAAGTATAACTGTTATATTAAATTTGTCTTTTTTTAATTACTGTATTTCAATATTAATATCAAGTCAGTTTTTTCATGTTTTATCTTGATTGTCTTGATTGATGTTCTTGGCATTGAATGTTTGCCATTTTTGTTATACTTTAGAAACTGCCCTGAGTCCCTTCGGGGGGAGAGGGCAGTTATAAATATATTATTATTATTATTATTATTATTATTATTATTATTAGTAGTAGTAGTAGTAGTAGTAGTAGTAGTAGTATGGTATGGTATGGTATGGTATAGTATGAGGTATAATACCAGTTACGCCTATTTTTAATAGTAACTCCCAATCAACCAGAAACTACATTTATCTGGCATCTACCAATCTCCATGAATGCTAGTTAACTTGAGAGTCTACTGTATTTCTTTTAGTCAAGGGGAGACATGAAAAAATTACTGAAGCCCTAAGGGAGTCATGAATTAAGAACGTTTGGAGACCTTTGACTTAACCACAACATAGGAGTTATCCTGTTTTTAAAGTGTCAGCATTTTGATCCTGTTTTAGTACCGTATATTCCGGCATATAAGACGACTGGGCGTATAAGACGACCCCCAACTTTTCCAGTTAAAATATAGAGTTAAGATGACTGCCATGCATAAGACTACACCCGCGTATAAGACGACCCCTGACTTTTGAGAAGATTTTCTTGGGTTAAAAAGTAGTCTTATACGCCAGAATATACTGTACTTTGACCGTTGGGGGAGCAGATTCCTAATTAGGAAGATGAGCCAGTTTCCGGACACATTCCTACATAAGAAATCAAACCAGAAAGATAACTTCTTTTTTGCATGGGAAATTTTGTGATTTCACATGAAAGTACACTTGTCTATTTTATAGTAGCCCTTTTAGCTCGTTCAGGTAACAATCTGATGTTTATAATGTCACAGAAAGAATATGAAAACTCTCATTAACATGTTTTTTTAGGCTTCACCATGATACAAAAAGTACTTGTTTTAAAACTTAATTCACTACTAGTTTTGCTAGTTGTGTTAAATTACCTTTGCGCTCCAGTGTTAAAACATGATATTCAAGGTCTTATTTAAAACATGATTTTCAGGCTCTTATTTGGACAAACTAAAATCAGTATCATTACTGGCCGCGGTGGCACAATGGGTTAAACCCTTGTGCTGCTGAATTGTTGATCTGAATGTTGGCAGTTCAAATCCGCGGGATGGGGTGAGCTCCCACTGTTAGCCCTAGCTCCTGCCAATCTATCAGTTTGAAAACATTTAAATGTGAGTAGATTAATAAGTACCACTTTGGCAGAAAAAAGCAAAAGACGCTCCAAGCAATCATGCCGGCCACATGTCCAGGAGGTGTGTACAGACACAGGCTCCTCGGCTTGGAAATGGAGGAAAAGCACCTCCCCCAGATCTGGAAATGAGCACATCCTCCAGAGCCAGAAATGAAAGGAGAAGCTTTTGCCTTTGTCTGTGTATTTGTGTCTCATTGTATGTCATTGTAATCAAGGCATTTAATGTTTGCCTGTGTCTGTTTATATGCTGTAATCTGCTCTGAGTCCCCTCGGGAAGAAGGATGGAATATAAATTAAGTATTATTATTACTTATTTTGGAGATCTGGAATCAATGAACAAAGTTTTGCTTTAGAAGAAAACATAATTAGTTATGAAACTTTGAAATTTAAAAGAACAACCAAAATTAGTTGAATAATCAGAGAAATTTAATTTAAAAAATATAGGAACATCTTAACAGCATAATTATGGCAGGGTTGCCATCAGCCTAAAAATGCCGGCAAGAGTTTTATCAGTGACATTATCGAAAGGTATGACTGAAGGAGCTTTTCCTATATCTTCTAAAATTAAGAGATTTCATGGAGAAGATCCTCGCAAGTACAGCTGGGTATCTGAATCTTGCTTGAAGCAGCTTGTACGTATTTGTGGATAAAGATGAGTTGTTACTTTTATTTTAGTAGTATGCAAATATATGGCAGGTGTTCGCTTTCTTCCATTTCCAAGGTATACTCCTACGTGAGAGGTGTAAATCACATATAATGTAGGTGATAAAATATAACAATGTTTCTCATGTGCTGAAATTGTGTTTCTACCAGAAAGTCTGCATCACAGGAGGCCGCAGTAGCTGTAAAACATCACTTCATTGTGAAATTGATAGTGTTTATTTCATTTTAACATGTTGAGCACTAACTCCTCACAAGATGTTGAGCACTAACTCCTCATCTGCTCACAAAAAACAAGATGTAGTAAAACAAAACAAAAAATGAGAAACCATTTTTAATAGCAAAACATGAACATTATTTCAGCTACTGAAATAAGTGTGTGAGAGCATTTGGGTTTTTATGTAGTCTTTCTCTCTTTGAAGCCATGTATGAAGGATCCACACCAGGAAATGCAATCTATGATAATCTGTGGGCATCCAAAAAGAATTTCATGTAAGTCAATGGTTCTGAACCTGTGGGTCCCCAGATGTTTTGGCCTTCAGCTCCCAGAAATCCCAACAGCTGGTAAACTGGCTGGGATTTCTGGGAGTTGTAGGCCAAAACACCTGGAGACCCACAGGTTGAGCACCACTGATGTATGTGCTGTGGATCCCTATTTATTGCTTCAGATCTCCAATCGCATTTCCCTGAGTTGTTTTTATTTATTTAGTGTCAAAAGCATTGCATAAATAAATGCAAAAACCTATAAAATAGATTGAGCATATGCAGCTAAATAATTTTTGATCAAAAACAGACAACTACTGCATTCAGTTCTTGTGGGTTTTTTCGGGCTATATGGCCATGTTCTAGAGGCATTTCTCCTGACGTTTCGCCTGCATCTATGGCAAGCATCCTCAGAGGTGACCTCACCTCTGAGGATGCTTGCCATAGATGCAGGCGAAACGTCAGGAGAAATGCCTCTAGAACATGGCCGTATAGCCCGAAAAAACCCACAAGAACTGAGTGATTCCAGCCATGAAAGCCTTCGACAATACAACTACTGCATTGTCTGTAGCTTTAAGCAATTCTTTCTCTGTGCATGAGGCAGGGCATCGTGGACAAGCATGTAGGTGCCAAATTATTTGTTCTGCTCCACAGCCATACAAGGTGGAGGAGTTTTTTAGGTAGTGTATACAGTGTATACGTTATGTATATAGAGTAGTTTGTGACCTGCTGGGAAGGACAGTTCCCTGAAAAGGGAAGGAAAGGGAAAGAAGCAGGGACTCTGGTTGAGGATTTCACCTTCAGATCACAGCCTGTTTAGCCTTTTCATAATCCTAATGTATTTTAGCAGACTACTAACTAGGTGCTAATGTCTTGATGGGAGCACAGATGTCAGCGTAAAAGCCCATCTCTTCATATTAATGCTTATTATCCTCTCCAGGACTATATAACGCTGATTGTTTTCTTGTTAACCAAACAGGGGACCAACCAGGTGATGAAAACATCACCCAGATGCTGAAGAGAGCCCATGACTGCAGGAAGACGGCTGAAAATGCAGCAAAAGCCCTGCTAATGAAATTGGATGGCAGCTGTGGAGGGGCCTTTGCCGTCACTGGCTGCAGCATTCAGCCCTGGGAGAGCCTGTCGTCCAACAGTCACACCAGGTAACTATGGCTCATTGAGTTTGTTAATCCACAGGCCTTTGGTGTCAGAACAAAATAGATTGTGTTGTTTTCCATTTATTTATCTAGCTATCCATCCTCACATCAAACTACTGGGACATATTGGTGTTAGTTTTAAATGACTTCAGTGCCTTAGTGCTAGCATTCTGTTTAGATATTCAGCAAGCTCTGTACAAAGAATATTGTACACGTTTGTTATATTTGTCTGATTCTAATCTATTTCATAAAGAGCAAACCAATATTGTTTGTTCTACTTCAACAATTTCTTCTGCCTTCTCTTTGTTTCTCCATTCTTTCTTTTTTCCCAAATTTAAAACATACATTATTTGTTCTATTATGTGAAGACAACAAAGGTTTCCAGTGGTTAGTAATTTTGGAGTTCTTCAGTATGTGAATTGCAGAAACATAATAGAAGGAAATATTTTCCCAGTTCCTCTCTGTGATTTTTAATAGGAAAGGCACACCCACATCTATCTACAATAGGTCAGTAAAGGAGGATTTGTAGGAGACAGTTGAATCAGAAATTTCACGTATCTTATTTACCTTTATTACTGATTCAAAGAAATGTGTGCATTTTTTCCAAATAAATACTTACCATCACTGAATATAAGGTCTTCAGGTGTGGGTAGTGGAATCATTATTTATCTTACTTGAAACTGGATTTATAACTATATACTTGCTTAAACTTATGCATTAGAGAGGTCGTATTTCACCAGATTCAAATATAAGGGCATGCCGTTTTTGAAGCATCGGTTTTGGTACACCATTGTCTTGATAATATTTTTTAGAATTTCCCCTGCATGCACAATACCTTATTTTTGTTTCAGACCAGCTTTGTAGTCCAATCTTTCCTGTGGGGTGAAAAGGGAGTGTGAAGATACCCACAATTCACCTTGTCTGCATGAGTCTATATTCCTAACTCTGAGCCAGTTGGGGAGGCAGGGGGAGCAGCAGCGGTGCTTAGCTCAGCCAGATGGTAAACAGTCCGGTTTTGTGGGATTCTTTCCGGCTTGTTCATCCTGACAACATGGAGGAGGTCCTTGGGGCTGTGAGGGCAACCACGTCGGCTCTGGGCTCTTGCCCTTCTTGGCTAATTAAATCAGCTAGAGGTGGGTTGATTGATTGGTTTGTGTTGATCATTAATGCATCGTTGGAGCAGGGGACATTTCCATCTGGTTTGAAACAGGCTGTGGTTAGACCACTCCTGAAAAAGACCTCCCTTGACTCTTCGGTCTTGAACAACTACAAACCAATCTCCAACCTCCCTTTTTTTGGGCAAGGTGCTGGAGCGGGTGGTCGCCTCCCAGCTCCAAGGATTCTTAGAGGACATCGATTACCTGGACCAGTCACAGTCTGGCTTTAGGCCTGGTCACGGTACTGAAACAGCTTTGGTCACTTTGGTGGATGACCTCCGCAGGGAGCTGGACAGGGGGAGTGTGACCCTGCTGGTTCTCTTGGACATCTCAGCAGCTTTCGATACCATCGACCATAGTATCATTCTGGGATGGCTCTCTGAAATGGGTCTTGGGGGCACGGCTCTGTCGTGGCTCCAGTCCTTCCTGGAGGGTCACTCCCAGATGGTGAAGCTGGGGGACACCTGCTCGGACCCTTGGCCTTTGACCTGTGGGGTCCTGCAAGGTTCCATTCTGTCCCCCATGCTTTTTAACATCTACATTAAACCGCTGGGAGAGGTCATCCGGAGTTTTGGAGTTGGATGCCATCTCTACGCAGATGACGCCCAACTCTACTACACTTTTCCACCTAATTCCAAGTTCATGTATGAGCCCCAACGGGTCCCAGGGTGGACGGTTGACCCCAGAGTTGCCACAGTTGTCCACTCGTGCCCTAGAACATAGGCCACGAGTAAACATTCAGTTCCTCAAGATAACTAGCTACTAAAGAATATAGCTGTGTAAATCCCCTGAATTTGTCAGTCAAACAGTAGCCTACAACAGAGTAATTCAAAATGGTGGGTCTTTTATAAACTTTGTGAAAGGAAAAGTAGTGGTATGGAAAGAAAGAGAGAGAGAACTGTTCTCCTTGGCAAAGACTTTTCATGTCAAAGTGAATAATTTCCTTTGCAGTTTGAAGTCCCTCAAAATGGGAATTTGTAATGGAAGTGTTGACCCAGACTTAACTCCAGCATCGGGAATGAGTTGCTGAATGTCAAATTGCAGAACGCATTACTGGGAACAAATGTACAGCCAGTCGTTGGTGACAAGGGGGTTAAAGATAGTAAAAGGGAGCAACTGCAACGAAATGGGTGGTGAAGGGGGGAGAGAAGCAATGCCGAAGCGGCCCGTTACAACTGAAGTGAATAAAAATAATAGCATTTCTGTTTGTTGTGCTGGCAGCACTCCAGCTAGATTACCAATTCCTTTGTGAGAATAGAAATAGATTTGTGGTGTATTAAGAAATCATAATTGTTTTAATGGAGAAAGCCTAACCATGAATCATGCACCTAGAAAGCACACAAATGACAGCATGTATAAGAGAGAGGTTGAAGGGGAGAATAAAGACAGGATTGAGGGATTGCTGCCATGTAACAATGAGTTCTTGCTTGCTATGTGAAAACAACCAAGTACTTTGAAGACTAACAATTTAATTCTGGTGTAAGAGTTCCCTCTGCGCCAAATATATCAAGTGGAGCTCAATCCATAAAACTTTATGATACAAAAAGTTTGTTTATCTTTGAAGTGCCCCAAGACACTTGGGTGTTTGGGTTGGTTGGTTTTGTTGCAACTAGATGAGGAATAAAGTCTTCCAGCATGGCAGAAGACTGGTTTGCAGCACTACATTTCTGTCCCCACTGAGTTGTTTGCATTTAGAGCCTGCTGTGTATTTCTTGCACTTCTGCCATTGAAAGACACCTTTCCCAGTAGCCCAGGCCATTGGTGATCTAAGTCTAGAAATTGCCCTCCACTCTTCCAGGCTCCCCAAGTCATCCCTATTTTTGACCAAAAATAGATGAACTATCTCTCCTTGAAGTCTCCAGGAAGGATATTTCACCTTTTAAATAAGTGCAAGACATTCTCAATGCTATTTAACATTTTTAAAACTATAATTGGTCGAAAGAAGAAAAGGGCTTCCTCCGTATTTCAAGATCGTTCATTAGAGTGGGGAGCATTTTGGCTGCAAGACCTATCTCAGTTGCCCACTCCTGGTTTAGTAGACGCTGGCTTTCTAAAACAGTGGTTCCCAATCTGTGGTCCGTGGACGCTCAGTAGTCCGCAAGAACAAAAATGTGGTCCTTGGCCTCATCATTATTACACTGTTGCCTTGAAACCACTTGGCAACAAGAGCGACTGGTCTCGCGGAACCCTCTTATAGTGCTGACACAATGGGGATGTCGGGAGGGAGAGGCTGACTACTGTCATGATGACAGGGCTCTGCTGGTATTCAGGCAGAGGTGAATCAAAGAAACACCCAGTTTGTATCAAACAGTTTAATTAAAGCAGCACTTACTTTCTGGCTGTTTTAATAGTCCAAAATCTAAAACATAAAGATAGCACTCAGCCACAGAATATAAAACAAAAACTGATAGTAAATGCTACACCATAATCAAAGGGTCTAGTCCAGTGGTCAAAGGCCGAGAGTTCAATGAGTAAAGTCCAGGGATCAAGAGTCTATACCATAGTCAAAAGCCAGTCCTAAGATTCAAGGTTCCAGGGTTCCAAGAGTTCAGGAGACAAATCAGGACACCAAACATCCAGAAACCTGGGGGAAAACCAGCAGCATCTACCACCAAGATAAGACAAATACTTTTATCTCAAGGTTAGTTCTTTAAATCCAGTAACACCCAGCTGCAACCTATCCCTTGCATGCCTCCACCCTTAATTACTTTTACCTGTAAACTGTTACTTACAAATTAGTCAGCCCTTTAGAACTAAGACTTACATTAACCCTTCCATCACCAACTACTAGGTTTGCCACCACCAACCACCATCAACTGTGGGAAATGATACATGACAACTACCCACGAAAGATTACTACTACCACATCAGTTCTAGATTATTAAATATGGTTTTCTGTGGGTGAGCAGATGGCGACTACTGGATGGCATATGTTCTGTATCCAAAACTAGAGCTGATGTGGTCTATCCAATGCAATTTTCTGAATCAGCATCCCAAATAACTGAACCGAATCTAAAGTTGACCAGAAATGGATTAATAACCCTTTTGGTACTGGTCAGACTGGTCCCTGGTCAAATAAAGGTTGGGAACTACTAATCTAAAAGAAGATACCTTAATCAAACATCTTCAAAATATTTTGGATACATTAATTATTTGAGCCAATCTATTCAGCAATCAGTAGGGTTCAAAGAAGGACAGAAATCTGGATCTTTTCCCCATCTTAATGGATGAGATGCAAATAAAGCATTACCTCGGTTGACAGAGTCTAAGCATAAAGGGTGCAGAAATTGTATCACCCAGACAAGATCTATGACATATTTAAGTCTGCTGTATTTATGTATGGTTAATAGATGGAAAACACTTACATGATTGGCCAATAAATCCTTCAGAGTGTGATGCATCATGCTGTACCATTTTCAGAGGGGATTACTTTGGCAAATGTTTGAAAGGGCATGTCAGAGGGAGCAGAGCTGAGGTCAGTAGAAGGGTCCCTCCCTCCCCATTCCCCCAACCCAGCATCAGAAGCATGGTTGTGTTTCATATTATTTCATTGTAGGCAGGCATGTAGCCGGGGGGGGGGGCTCGGGGGGCTTCAGCCCCCCCCAAAAATTTCATGGTGGTTCGCGAAAAGGCCTTAATGGTGCATTATTTAAACTGTTATGTTTATTCATATCATGATCTGATCACCATACTCAATATATCCCATATGCATGGGGGTATTGGGGTAATGATAAAAAAAGGTTTGCTAGGCTAGACCCTCTTTCACTCAGACTCAGCCCCCCCCCCGAAACTCAGCCCCCCCCCCGAAAAAAAATTCACCCCCCCCCCCCCCCGAAACGAAATCCTGGC